GTTGACTCGAAGGTATTGCCAGCGCCCATTCTGCTCTCCTTATCATCACTAACGTAATCGATATTTTTAGCTAAATTGAGTCATTAACATATCTGGAATAAGCAAAACGAGATCTAAAACCCCGCCTAATCGATTTTTTAATATCTTCAACTCCGTCGATGATGTAATCTTATTTACTTTGAGTATTATTGTTAAGCAAAATCAGCGTAATTGATATTTTTTTAGGTCACGTTGGAGGTAGCGTTGCTCATTACATATCGATAGTTCCGAGGAAGATGGGTGTAACAGCCAAACTACAAACATTAGAAGACGTATCAATATTTTATTTTATTGCCTTTTATTATAAAACCATGTTTACATAAAACAGTCATTTGTCGAAAATTCTTTTTATTAAAAAATATTGCTCATTTGACCTCCATCTCACCTGATAGAAAGTGACGATGAGTTTGACGATGTGGCGTGCAGACCTAAATAATGCCTAATCACTCTGGAGAATTCCACTCTTTAGCCGATCGCCATATAAATGTGCAAGCGAAACGCTTTGTGCAAATCCGTGGAATATCCACAACATTGGGGTGGAACCCCAGTCTACGTCTAGTCCCCGATGATGGAAAGGGAATTAAATCATGCAATTCCATCGCACACTCTCCGTGATATATCCTGTAGAATACCGATAAGCAGGCACCTTTACGTAGCGGTGTTCAAATCTATGCAGCTTCATCTCTACTAAATTCGAGTCACTTATAAACATTTTGGCATACTTTTGAACGAATCCAATGTGGATAACGAAAGTTTGAGTAGACAATTTGACAGAGCCTGAAAATTTTACCCAATTACAACAATAACTCATTCTTGATTAATTTAACTTTAAAGCTCTTTCTTCCCCAAAGTAAGATACATTTTCGACTTCATTCCAATGACGTAATCGGAATGTAGCTCATATGTCTATATTTTAATTTTCTAATTCAAATACATCATTCAATTCAGTCATTGGTCAATTCTTTACAGTTTTTGTTACAAGTAAAAACTCAAACCTCTATAAAGAGTTATCTTGTAATCATAATGATTTTATTACAATACGTAACAAAAACGAGCCAATAACAATGCCTGGTCGCCTAATATGCATTTTTCCCTTGTAAACGAAACAGGTCAGCCGAGCTGAGCACTGACCGGAAACCATGACGTCTCTTCCATTTCAATGGATCTTATTTTTCCATTCTAGATAGAAGAAGTTGGGAGTATTTGAAAGTTTGTACGAGAAAATTAATATTCTTGGGTACTATTTGTTCCTTAAAACTTTTTAATTTTTTTAATTTTTAATGAATTGATATTCAATTATTTTTTGTGAAATTACTCCACTAGTTTGTTATAATTATTAATACAAAGATCGAACACTCAGAACGAAAACTCAAAAAAAATTCCTTCGATCAGGCCGGATTCGAACCGACCTCTTCCAGCTTGCCGTGCCTAACTAAGCCACGGAACGGACCAGCCGACCTCACGATTTTTTCTATGTGCTTGCGTCGTGTCTTTGTATTTGGTTTTCAACGACTTTTTAGTCGTAGCGCCATCTATGAGAAATCTATGAAAGATTTATCACCCAGTTAGTACCTTTACAGTTACCAGTCCTGGCGAGAGATGTCGCTATTCGCTGTATTTTAAATTTTTATTGAATTGATATTCAATTATTTTTGTGAAATTACTACACTAGTTTGTTGTAATAAATTATATATATATATATAT